TATGTGGTAAGACCACTCCCTCAGCATCCTCTGCTTTAAACCTTATCACCGGCATACGAGCCGTAATCCCTACTCCCTCTCTCTTCCTTTTCACAGCTCGAGCATGTTCCTTCCTGGCGTGATTCGAGTCGCCAATCCGTCGGCCCTCCAGAAATCATATAAATCGTTCATCTCTTCAACGGGGCTTCACCTCCTTTATCAGCGTCTCTCCTCGGCCTCCTTCCTCGACCATCTCGTCCATCTCTATCATCATCCTCCTCATCTCTATCACTTCTCTCCTCGAAATCCTCCCGACATCTTCTCATCCCTTTTCCTTTCGCCCTGTCATGATACACAAACTTCTTCAGGTGCCCTGCTCGAATCAACCTCTCAATTTCATCCTTCAAATGCCTACAGTTCTCCGTGGTATGGCCGTAATCTCGATGAAAGCGGCAATAAATATCCGACCTCGGTCGAATCAGGCCTGTAAACCTCGTCTTCCGCCACGTCACATCCTCATTCGACATCTTCTGCTCCATAGCCTCGAGCACCTCTGTTAAATCTTTCCTCAAGGGTGTAAAACAATGATACCTCTGTCTTTCGAACAACAGGGGCCTTCTTTGCCATTCATCCCTTTTCTCCTTTTTTGAATCTCGACCCTCTCTCCTTGGCAATGCTCTTTTCGGCCCACTCCTCTTGGGCGAATTCTTCCTCGGCAATCTTTCCCTTTGCGGGCTCTTCTCCTTCTTTGGTTTTGGTCGAGCCACCCCCTCCATCTTTGCAAACTCCATCTCCATCTCCTCCAGATTAATGTACTTCCTGCATCGTTTCAAAACGTTCTCATTTGATCGAGCAGGGGTCTTAGCCAGGGACGTTCGACAAGGCTCCGCTTGAAGACTCCTTATCAATCCCCCTACTTGTTAGAGGTATGCTGTAAAAGCAATGTTTTGCAGTTTCTATCAATTCCATTTTGATCTGGCCATCATGTTTAGGTCAAAGTACATATGTTTGCAGTTTATTTATTTATGCAACACATACTCCATGTCTTATATTGAAGTAGTGTGGTTCGAAGAGTTTCGAACAGAAAGATCACCTATCGGTTCCTTATAAGACTAAACTATTCGTTCACAGTCTAGACTGGCA